GTGTTGTTAGATTGTCATGGTTTAGCATAGCCAGATACAACTTCCAGCACACACTTGTGAATAATATACTCCCACTGCACACACTGTGCTACATATTCTGCATACCATACATTAATACATCATAGCTGTGCATCTTCTTACTGAATGCCATCATGCTACATAATTTTATTCATCATCCATAATACACCATAACTTATACTATAATTACAACAGTACAACATATGAACAGTATACAGTGAATGCATTGAGGATGACATCCACAGTGAAAACTAGCTGTATCTGCAACACTATGGGCAATACAAGGAAAACGTACACAACCTAATCCATGAATTGTGTTGAACACCATTTATTTATAAATGATTTCAGCAAGGATCTTTTTTTTTATTGCTAGTGGGGTGGGACTAAGTCCCTTGTACTGCGGCCACTTCTGGCCTATTGTACCAGCTACAGATGATAGGTGACTGTGATTGTGGAGCAATTGGTGGAATGAAGATTGACAGGGGAAACCGATGTACTCAGAGAAAACCTGCCCCAATGCCACTTTGTCCACCACAAATCCCACTTGACCAAACCCAGGATCGAACCCAGGCCAGTGTGGTGGGAAGCCAGCAAATAACCGCTTGAGCTATGGTGCAGCCCTTCAGCAAGGATTAGGCATAATATAAAATTTTATCTTTATTGTTTGCATCAAGGTGTGTGTCATGATTTACTTATATGTTTTTTGTACTGTTTGTGTGTAATGTTATTAGTTTTTAATAACTAATAATGACATTATATGTAAATAGTACCAAAAACATGTAAATCATTTGCCTGCACCACAAGATAAAATACATATAACCCCAAAACTTCAACAGTAATACACATGCTATTTTACTTTCAGATAAAAACATGACAGTGAACCCTGGAAGAAAAACGCCACCTGCAATACATGACAAATAACAGACATTTTACATTGTAATGATGAATGAGTTTTAAAAAATTTGAAAACCTTTTTACAGTTTTAGTAATAATTACATGTATTATGATGATTATAATGATTAACACTAATATGGATCCATATTAGGATATTTCGATAACGTCAGATGTGTTTAATGAAACTGCCTGAGGATGGTCCAAAATATGGACCGAAACATGTAGCAATTATTAAATAAAACTCATACAAACACTTAGATTGGTTCATTTTTAAATATTTGTTGTGTTGACAGCTAGAGTATCAGCAAAAAAAAAAAAATCATACTATGACAGAATCTCACATTACTGCATCACTGATTCATATCCTATTACAACCTCCTAATATATTTAAAATTTTATACATAATTGTGTGTTTCATTTTATGTGCTGTAGGTGTGGTAGATGTAATAATTCATTGAAATTGATCTAAGTTCCATTGCATTCATTAATATTTTCTTTATTTCTAACTGTTATCTGTTCTGTATTTGATTGAAAGACATAATTTTAAGAGATAAAACAGTTATCACCATCTGTGCATGTTATGTAGGTAGCTAATGAAATGGTAGGACATAAAATATTCTGAATGATCTGAAACAAGAAAATGCTGCATCACCATTCCTTTTAAACTTTGTTTTAGAATATGCTATTAGGAAGGTCCAAGAAAATCTTTAAGTTTGAAACTCAGTGGGACTCATCAACTTTTGGTCTATGCTGATGATCTTAATTCACTGGGGAAAAACGTACATACCATAAATAAAGACACAGAAACTAATAGTTGTTATTAAGAATGTTGATCTAGAAGTTAACAGAGAGAAAACCAAGTAGTATGTTTAAGGTTTTGTTTTCTGGGATATAATTCTGTCTAGTCCACTGAAAGTCAACAGGCTGTCAGTTACTGCTGGCTCTTCCAGAGAATTGGCGTGAACCAATTGGGGAAAAACGTACATACCATAAATAAAGACACAGAAACTAATAGTTGTTATTAAGAATGTTGATCTAGAAGTTAACAGAGAGAAAACCAAGTAGTATGTTTAAGGTTTTGTTTTCTGGGATATAATTCTGTCTAGTCCACTGAAAGTCAACAGGCTGTCAGTTACTGCTGGCTCTTCCAGAGAATTGGCATGAACCAATAGGAGACAGGAGAAGAGTGACCAGACTGTCATTTGAAAGGCCAGTTGTGCCCCTAATCAGAGCAGCAACACTGCCCTTTCCAGGCACCCATCAACCCTAAGCCTTTCCTTTGGCCTCCCTCCACTGTTTCTGTCCTTGTCCCCATCTGCATTTCTGCAACCCATGCACATGACTTTCCACCACTCATCCTGAGTTCTGTCCCCACCACACATATCAACAACTTATCTTCCCCATGCACCCCCACATCTGCACAACAGCCCTTCAAGGGGCATACACGGTCACTTTTTACTGTTTCATATCAGTTTACCCTGGTTCTCTCGAAATTCCTATCAGTTTCTATATAATCCCATATTTCCACAAGCCACTTGCTCTGCTGGCTCCCATTTTACTCTCCCCTTCCCAGTTTACTCTTCAACCCTGAAGTTGAAAGCAAAATGTTCCTTCAAAAAGTTGGTTGATTTTCAGAAGACTTCACATTGTTATATCACGAAAGACAGAACTCTTCAGAACCTCCACTGTGAGAAGCTCAAATGCTTTGGATATATCAGCATCTCATCACTAGAATATAGACCAAAATGATAATAAAGAAAGTGAAGAGATCCCCTGAAAATGTAGGAGAGCTGAAATATTAAGGAGAATAAGATGGATGGGACATACAGAATGCATGGAAGAAAACAGAAATTCATACAAAGTTTTGATTGGAAAACTTGAGTGAAAGGGACTGGAGTATGTGGACTGGATTCATCTGGCTCAGGACCAGTGTCAGGCTCTTGTGAACATGGTAATGAATTATTGGGATCCATAAAATATCTGACTAGCTGAACAATATTAACTGCTGAGGAAGGACTCTGCTGCATGAAGTTAGTTGGTTAGTTATGGATCTCAGTGTGTAATGTTTTGACCTCCTGCTTGAATAAGTTCTGCCAAAATTTGATCAGTACCTGGTGATTTATGTGTGTTCAGCTATTCTGTAGCAATCTTTTCTTAAAAAAAACCTAGGGTGAGGGAGTGATGGCTCAGATGTATGTACTTCAATCTACCTAACATCATTAATTCCATATGCATTCAACAGCTGATGCATATAATCCTGCGAGAATCATACCCTTTTTATCCTTTACAAATTTAGCTTTAGGTTGATAACCCTTCTTCAGTTTGTGCCTCTGTACAAGTCGAATATTTTTGTTCTTATTGTTTGTTTCAAGTTCATTTCCCTTATTTGCTTTTGAAATGTATACTAATTTCAGTACTTACATTGTCTGGATTATATTCATTCATTCAATTCAGATTCTGTAGCCACTGCAGTTAAGCTGGTTTCCTTTGATTTCCTAATTTTGAATATTCTTTGTCAAGCCATATTTTATGCTGTTTCAGTCTGTAGTAACCTAGGCTCTCTTTGGCTGAAATTTTCATTTTATGTCTAATACTTTTTCACACCCAATAGACATTTGCATTTACATTCAGGTTTTCCAAAAGTGCAAACCTGTTTGAGATTTTAACCTAATACTGTTCTTTAATTTCTACGTTGTTTAGCTTCATGCAGTTGGATCTCTTTATATGAGATAGTAGTATCACATTTAGCTTCTCTGAAAGAATAGGAATTTTAAAGTAAGAATATTAAAATATACTGAAAAAGAAAAGGATGGGATGGTGTCGATTGGATTTAACTAACTGTGTCAGTCTCTTTGAAATACTATGATGAAACTTTGAGCCCCATAAAAGCAATGAATGTCTTGACAGCTGAGTAACATAGCTCTGTGGTGTTAATCATCATAATAGAAAAATATTTTTTTTCTATAAAAAGTTGTTTAAAGGACATAGCTATGGTGGGAGCCATTACACTGAGTACACGTTTAGTCAGACATCCTTCAAATAGAGGATTGTGGTATGCCATACAAAACACATGTTATCTATTTCTGTTTATCTCTCAGTTCAGGATCATGAGAAATACTCTTCTCATTAGTACCCCCAGGTAGGCATATGGTACTGTGTGGTCCATGAAGCTCTATCCTCATGTTGTTATCCTGTCTCTCTAGTGTTCCAAGAAATTTCCCCACAGAAGTTCTGTATGCACCTTATGTGTCCTCATTATATGACATCCTAAACTAGTCACTTATCCATTTTGGTTTAAAACCTAGAACGTGTATAAATATTTCCTAAAATTTCCATTCATGCTCATTATAAAAGTGTTTATGATCCAGGGTGTAAAGTATAACACCCTGCCATAGGTACATGTGCATACACACAGTTCCATTGATTTCCATGTTAGCTGGAAAGACATGTGTCATCTGATGAAGTTGAATGGTCTTTGGGTAGATTTGCCTTTCCACCATGTGCAACCTGGGAATTTGAGTAAGAAGCAGTAACCGAGCTTGTTTTCCTGCTGTACCCTGTAATTGCTGTTTAGAATCATGTCTGTGCTGAGGCTCTTTCTTTCACACATATTGCTTTTTAAAAATTATCCTTATAAAATAAGCTAATTCTTCCACACGTTCAGATGTTGAAATCAGAATTTTAATAATACTCAGAACATTTACTGGGATCACCTCACAGTGCTTTGTACAGGTTAGGTATGTATGCATGCCAGCCTTTACATTTATAATTCTATTGACACATAAAATTTAATGCTCCCTTCTGCATCAAAACATGTTGCCCATTCTCATCAGTAATACTGTTGTGCTGCGAACAGGTACAGGTTTGTAAGATTTAAGGTTTTCACGGTGGTGACTACGAAGAATGCTGTCTTCTGGGATATGGTGCTTGAAGATTTTTTCTTTTTTTTTCTTTTACGCTGAAGATGGAGGCAATACGTTCCTCCGAAACGTCGGTTTATACAATATCTACATGGTGCCACATCTGAGAAGACGGTATTCTACAGGTACAAGTTAGTTGCTATCCCACAAAAATGTGTTCTTTTTCAGGTGACGGGGAAGAAGATGAGGTGGGGGGTGAAACAGAGCCGATGGCAAGTTCTCAACAACATGAGCAGCAGGATGGAGAATCAAGGGGCGAGCGCAGCCATCTTATTGTCTGGCAGGTCACAATGCAAGACTGAAATGCTGAATTGCATGACCACAAGAGCCATGCAAACATTAATTTAGTTTTATTCTGCACTTAACATGTTGAAAGTCATCAGTAGGATTCAGGAGCTTCATTTATAACCAGAATGCATATTTATTCATCATACTGCAGTTTCTAAGCAGTTCCTCATCACTTGTAGCAGTGAGTTACTACAGAATTGAGGTCATTGTAAAAATAGAAGTTACAGAGTAAGTTGTATGGGTAAGAATCAGACAACATCTGGGGATCACTGTTGATACATTTACCAGGTATATCAAAAGCCTAGGTTAGATGTTTGTTTGAGAATCACATGGTGATGCAAAATCTGAAAATGTTCAAACATCCATATATACACATACTTCTTTTTACATTTACATTTCGAAGCAAAATTGAGTCTGGTCCACATTATCAGTCTGTATGCCTATACTAAGGAGGACATTTGTGATACATATAGAAAATATAAATTATCTGTTTTAACTGTAAATTACAGTTTCAGTTTTGTAGAAAGTGGTCCACATTATCAGTCTGTATGCATATACTAAGACAGACATATGTGATACGTACAGAAAATATAATTTATCTGTTTAACTGTAAATTACAGTTTCAATTTTGTATAAATCCTTTGAACCACATATTTATGAAGTACCTTTTACAGATTTTGGCTTGGTTTGAGTTTGTGGCATATTAATGTTACCATTTTGATATATTTTGCAGACTCCCTCAGGTATCAGGCCTCAACAGATTTACTGAAATCAGTGGCATGCCCTGGACAATGTAGTGACAAGAAATATTCCAACAAAAGCACCAAAGTACTTCTACAAATACAATTCAGTAATGGTGAAAGTGCAAAACAGTATTTGATTTGTTTCATTCTGGTTCGTCACACTAACAAATTACAAAGACAAAACAACTCTGTCCAGTGTGACTATTGAAGTTTTTACTACTTGAAAACTTAACACCCTTACATGTTTCGGTCCCCATAGACCATCATCAGAGGGACATCGATACTTCAATAGTCACACTGGATGGAGTTGTTTTGTCTTTGCAAAACAGTAATTTGTCAAAAAATATATATGTAAGAAGACTTGCAAAATCTAGTCAGAGTGCAAAATAAGCTGGACATCTTATTTCACTTCTTCCTGCAGTTCTTATTGGAATCGCCGCATCTGACTTCTCAGAAGGCAATGAAATATAAGAAATGTGAATGACCACAAAGGAAAATTTCAGGTGTGATACTTTAATGCAGTAACAATTTATGTTTCTAAATTACTTAAAAAAAAGAGAGATGCAGACGTTTAATGGGCCATGCAAATGCAAACATATGATTTAGACAGTGACTATAAATTTGGCAACAGCAGTAAGTAATATTGGTAATAATAATAACAATAAAGTGTGGAATATTATCTGCATCTGGTTTGCTTTAGGGACAGTAACCGCACTGCTTTGCTGTTTTTATTCTTGGGAGAGGTGATAGGTACCATTTATTTTTAAGACTTCTAGAGCAGACATGAACGTATTTGGAGAAAGATTCATAATTTGAACATATTTTTGAGACATGGTAATGAAGTTTCCTGCAGGAATAGACATGCCTTAAGATTGGTATTAAAATTGTTAGCAGCAAATATTGACCATCTCTCATTAGCTTGACAGTGAATTTCTAAAACATTTTGTCTTTCCAGTATTATATATTAGAAGCCAGCTGAAGGACCACAAAAAATGACAACTAGCTCAGTCCCTTACCTGCAATATGTTGCCTGCTTGTTTCTCCAGTTTCGCAGCCTCCATGAGGCTTGTTGCAATTATGTGAGGGCATTTTATGACAACTCATTTAAATGTTTGCCCTCTTTAATATAATATATGAGAGAGAGTCATTAAATAGGTCACAAATGGAAGTAAAAGAGCTGTTTTTCTGTGTGTATCACTAGGTAACAGCACAGTCTAGCTTCATGAGAGTCTAGGTTGCGAATTATCAGAGGCTGGTTTCAGTAGTCAAAATGGTGACTGCGCTTGAAGGTATATTACCAACGAGCAGCGTTCTGTTGTGTGTTTTTGTGGGCAAGAGGAGCCAATGCAAAGGATATTCATAAAGAAATTTTTCCTATTTATGGAGAACATACTTGTTGTGTAAAGCAGTTCACAACGGGGTGGCAAACATTTCGCTGATGATGAGGCTGAAACGGAGGTGCAGAAGTTGCTGAGACAGCAAATTACTTCTTATGCTGTGGGTTTCGACACACTGGCAAAGTGATGGGACGAGTATATGATTGTTGGTGGAGGATATGTCAAGAATAAATGTTTTTTCCACATTTGAATATTACGTTTTACGTTTTATACCCTTTTGTGACCTACTTATTGACTGTCCTTTGTAAATATAATGTAATATGTTGATAAATATTTTATTTATTTATAACTGTGGTCAGCATTCTGACATTATTTGTTTGAAGTAACAGTAGGTTCCTGCTGAAGTGTGTATGCGTGTTTGGATTTGGGTGATTGTGTTTATAAAGCATGACACTTCATACAGTGTAAAGCTATTAGAAACAAGTGACTATAAATGTATTTAGAGAATACCTTCTGTAGCAACTTAATATTAAATATTTTGTAGCATGTTTAATAGCAGTGATGGTGGAATTTTTCATTTCATTGCATAAGAAATGTTATATTGGGTATTACATTGAATAAGAGATGGAAATATTCAGCAATCTTTTATTTGTTTCATAGTGGTATAGCCCACAAAATACAGTGGGAAATCACTTCTTTCATATTCCCCCACTTCAGCCCCTTTTCTCGTTTTCTTAATGCCTTTCATACCCTTACTTCATTCCTCTCCGTCTTCATTGAAACAGTGAATTAGCTTTCATCTCTGTTCTTCAGATGGCCCAGTTTTTAACATAGAGCTGGCATAGAGTAACATGACATATATACATAGTATATATAAACATACATATACAAAAAGTATGTACTATATATATATATTATACATACCTTTTGTCTAAATGACTGGAGGTTATGTAGTACTGATGATTTTTAAACTAAATGACAAGCTCCTGACCAAAACTTATCAAGAGATATATAATGTTACTGATGTGCACTGATAAAGTTTAATATAAAGAATTGTAAATAATTCTAATTTACATCAACCAGTCCCATTTTTATGTCAGTTACATTATGTTTTTATCTGAATTATAATGGCTTGATGCAGATATTATCTGTGAAGCATAGGTTGTGATTGTTCTATTTCCACAGTTAGGTTACTGAACTTGTTTCACAGCTAACCAAAGGTGACTCAATAATGATCTTGTGTATAAGTGTATCTGAATAGTGATGATGTTAGTTGAATGATACCATACAGCATTGTGAACTGATTATTCCTTGCTTGTTGCCAACATATTGCAAGTAACTATTTCAGCAGTGGTACTAGTTTTTCACATTTTGCAAGACTGATTATTTCAAATCAACTGAAATAAAACTCAAAAGACATTTTAATTTGTTTTAGTGTTTCATTCTGCTAGGAGATTAACAACAATAATAACACAGGAAATGTTGGTTTATTCTCAAAGCTTTTGAACAATGATTTCAAGACTGCATGTGTTCTCTTGTTTCTTGCAACTGGTGACAACATGTATTATGGCCACCATACACTTTTTGCTTCCATATGATGTCTACTCATTTCATCATTAGATTCTTCCAGTACCTTAAAAGTGAACCTTAAGAAATTTGTTTTGTCACCCCCCCACCCCCCACTTTTCTACATACTCCTTCCAGTTCCAAATCGTTATCCATAAAACAGACATGACAGATGCAACCTCAAAAAATATAATTCTTCTTGTAGCTCGTGTTATACGATTACCCTATCCTCCTTTTTTGTTTCATTGGGGGTTATTTTATCACAGAAAACTCAGAGGAGGTGTTTGTGTTTTACATCAGACATTAGCAGTGGCAAGAGGTCACATGCTTTTTACAAGTTAAGGTACTACACAATACATGATTTCTACATTTTACACATTGTCAGATTTGGAATTTAAACTGGGCCATACTTCTTAATACAAAGGCTCACTTATTTTGGACACACACATCACATTAATTTAGTGACACATAACCCTTCTGCTAAGAACAGTTGTCTTTCTACCTGCACCATTAATGGTGAGTTACTGGGAAGATGGTACTTAGTAGTACTAAACATATATATATTATGTATAATGTTTATCAGTACTGATTTGGTAATATTTTGGAATAATGAAACTTATTTTTCATATTGTACTCAGTAGAAATTAATACTAAGATTTTCAATTCATATTGAAGGGACTGAGATATGGAATTAGAGGGCAGCTGTGGTTTGTACATCATTCATTTCTATGCTTAACCAAAGATTGTCCTATACTTTGTAGCTGTAACATGTTTGTTCTGTTAAAAATTGAAAATAAACGGAAACAGATACAGATTCAGAAACAGTATTGTTTTGCACTGATTCTTTAAAAATACTGTGACGTGTTGCGCAATGGTAATAGGCAGGTCAACATCCTCCCCCCCC